AGTCATGAGAAAGGGCATTGGCAATATAACTTATCTTGTGAATACTGTTAGTGGTTTGTTTACTGCTTGAAATTTACAAGGTTGTGATTTTGTTACAGTAATTGTAATGATTCATGCAGTCACTGTTAATTTAAGCAATTAAATGACTACTTTTAAATCGTCATCTTTATATAATAACTTCATTTCTATGGTGCATGTGTAGTTTATTTGTAGATGTATTGCTGCAGAAAATGAATGCCATTTGCCTTTTTAGTAAATGACAGGCAAAACCCCCCGTTCATATTTGAAAGCATATCTTGTTATATCATCTAAAGCAAATCAGATGTAAATAAGCAGCAGTTACTTTCTAAGAAGACATTTCAAGCATTGGTGTGGTAGTTACACCATTGTTTATTTTAGGAAAAGTACACAAAAGAAACAGAAACTTAGAAAAAACAAGCAGACTGTTGGCATGGCATCATATATCCGTCACTCACACCTTTTTTAATAAAACAACAAATAAGCAAAACAAAAACAGTATTTTTTTTTTTAGATTTTTAAAATCAGGGATGTAAAATAAATTGGTTACCTTTTATTTTACAGAAGTCATTAGGCACATTCCAGTTGCCATATAAATGTAATTTTTATGAAAACACTTATGAACCGGAGCCATCAAATATGAAACATGGCACACAACAAAAAAAGAACCAAGAGATTGTCAAACTATTTTGAATAGGAATGAATGCACAGGTATTATGACTTGTAATTGTTGCAGCATGTTGGTTCAGGTGGAAGTCAAAAGAGGCCACATTTCTTTCTTACATTGATAAATATTGTAATATATGAATAATGTATAACAATAGCTCTGAAGCAAAAGCTCTAAAGCTTTTGTTACAATCTAATGCAATGTGAAATGTCTATGCATGCAAACACCAGTCAAGTTTAGTATCCTGCACTTGGAAACCTTAAAATAATTTAGCAAACATTGTAGAACTCTTGTCGGTTTGGGAAAAAATTCTGCAGAAAATGACAAATAAGTAAAAACAACAAAAACTAATCCTAACAATGTACTTCATATTGAAAAGTTAAAAGTATTTGATTTTTTTATGTTGTCTCATAAAATGTCAAACGCATGTGTTATCACATGACAATACAACAGTAAAACTAAAAGGCAACTTAATGTTAAAACTGAATTTAGATACAGATTAAGAATAGAAAAGACACTCTCATGGCCACAAAGACTGATCAGTGAGGATAATCACCATTTTTCCCTATGGCCAAGTTATATTGCACACAAAAATCTACTACGTTTGCCAAGTATAAAAAGTACACACCAGAGCAATGTAACAAAATTGAAAATGAATCGGTAACACTTTACAATAAGGTTCATTAGTTAACATTATTTAACTACTTTAGTTAGCATGAACTAAGAATGAAGAATACTTCTACAACATTTATTAATCTTAGTTAATGATAATTCCAACATTTACTAATGCATTATTAAAATCAAAAGTTGTGCTTGTTAACATTAGTTAATAAACTGAGAATGAACATGAACTAACAGTGAACAACTGTATTTTCATTAACTAACATTGTTTATTAATCTTTGTCAATGCAATAAATGTATTGTTCATTGTTTGTTCATGTTAGTCAATACATTAACTAATGGAACCTTATTGTAAAAGTGTCACCAATTAATCTCTCAGATCAACCACGACATCTTGAGCATTAAAGTCAAAATTTACAGCTCTGTGCGTCTCTACACCACAATAAAAAGTTGTAAATAGTTTTGAGGAAGTACAACAAACTAAATTACAGTAGGTTTTTCAGTGGAGAAAATATGTATTTAATATGGGCCAAAGCAGGAGGGCTACAGAGTCTTCTTCTTAAGAATAAGTGGACCAACGTTGTCTCCCGTCAGCTCGTTATGCTTTATGTGTGATTTATCGCAAACAGGAAACTGCAAGATAAGAAAGAACAAATTTAAGTGCTGATAGAGAGAGTGGTTCTTAGGCACCCTGAGGCTTTTGAAAAAAATGACGCTTACAAAGAGGAAGTAGAAAATCACACTCTTTTTTTTTTCATTTTCCACATGCACATTAATAGTTTCACTAAAGTTTTTTTTTTAAGGGGACATATGCATTTGTATTTATTTTATAATACCTTTTCCCTCTGATCCGATTATAATGTTAATCAATGTTTTTTTTTTTGTGCCAATAAGTCACAATTTAGTTTTTCCATGTCCATTTTCCCTACCGTTTGATTGCTTGTATCATCGTCCAGCTCTAATCTGCTAAATGTGACTAATGCATTAAGATATTATAAACATTAACATCATGATTTTCTATAAAGCTGCTCAAAACAATGTGTATTGTGAAAAGCGCTAGGGATGCACGATATATCGGCCACCATATCGGTATCGGCTACATAATTTGACTTGACTTTGGTGCTGTTTTAGTACATGTTCACGGTAAATAGATCTACTTTACAGTTTCTCATGATATCACCCATTTAAATTCGATCAAACTGTTTTTCTACAAAAAATATTCTCTCTTTTTTTGTCAGGCATCGAACCTCCTACCGTTTTAGATCGCCAGCATCGGCAGTAGCAAACATTTGGAGTCCTCAGGTCCTCTATGTCGATCTCATTCACCACTTTAGGGTTTTCTTTTTGGATCTTCAGATTTATTAGACTGTCTCTTTGCTTTTGCTTTTTGGGCAGGAAGGGCCGGATGGTCAGATAACCCAACAGAGCCAAAATCCCCAGTAAGGGCAGGAGCCGCAACCACTCTGAAACTGAGACACAATCAAGAGTCATCAGAGTTTAGGTTGTACACTTAATTATCACAATAGACTCCTCACAATCCACTTAGTGAGGGATCTTCGACTTACTGTGGAAAAATAAGTGTGATAAGTTTCAGATAAAGTAACAGCTAATGATTAACACACTTACTTGCACACATGTGCATTAGTGATAACTAACCTGTCATGAACTATTGCGTTACACAATGACCGTTGCTTGACCCTGATGATGGGTTCATTTAGGTGTCTGTACAGTTACTTTAACACATTTACAGATGCAAATAGTTGTGCATTTATTATACCATCTTTTATAATACTATAATAAAGCAAAGCATGCTGTCAGATGCTCTGCTTATTTTGTTCTTCACATTTCTGTGGATATTTTGTATACGAAAGTAGAACCCCTTGTGCAATGAGGCACTGCATCTTGAGTATCTTCTCAATAACTGTTTTTTCCCCCAAGCAATTCATTAGTTATGACTTGTCTGAGCGTTTAACAGACGGAAAACAGAGACAATTAACACTCTTTCTATGCAGGCATGCGCGATTAACTGAACTTTCCACCTACGCTTGACATTTAGTGTGATAAAACACATACCTGTGAGTCTCGCAAAGCCGCCGATTGTGTCTGGAAGGGGTAGATTCTTGAGGTAGGCTGGAAGTTGCGTTTTGATAATCTTGGAGATACTTTCTAACACCATCTTGAATGACTTTCTGCGCTTCTAATTGAGACACAGCAGGATATTTCCTGGGACATTCTACGTCACTTGCGTAGTCGTTTCCGTTTGCTCGTTGAAGTGGGGCTACTCAAGGCTGGAAGAATATACGTAGCTGTGACCGTGAATAAGCGTAAATTCACGGCGCGCAGTGAAAGCGTCAACCAATCAGCATCTGCAGAGTTGTTTGCGCCCGATTGGCTGCTTTCACCGCGCCACTTGCTTTTAGATTTAATGGCTCTTTACTTTCTGTTGCACAGAAAAAGAGTGGACAATAACAAATTCATATTTCATAAGTAATAAAGTTAGAGATATCCTGTTAAAATTATTTGAACGATTTAATTTATATATTGAAATTCGTGCAACTTGTATGGTGTTGCAAAAGAAACTTTTTCGTGTGCATTCAAGATTTTTATTTCTTTATTTATTTTTATTTTTTTATTTTTTGGACCGATGTCTTTAACTTTTCAGTGATATTTGGGTTATTATTATTATTATTTTTAAACAAATTGCATAATGTAATTAGATTTTTGTACATGATAATATTGATTGCAATATTATTTGATCATGCTTCCGTTTATTTTATTATTATACCATCTTTTATAATACTATAATAAAGCAAAGCATGCTGTCAGATGCTCTGCTTATTTTGTTCTTCACATTTCTGTGGATATTTTGTATACGAAAGTAGAACCCCTTGTGCAATGAGGCACTGCATCTTGAGTATCTTCTCAATAACTGTTTTTTCCCCCAAGCAATTCATTAGTTATGACTTGTCTGAGCGTTTAACAGACGGAAAACAGAGACAATTAACACTCTTTCTATGCAGGCATGCGCGATTAACTGAACTTTCCACCTACGCTTGACATTTAGTGTGATAAAACACATACCTGTGAGTCTCGCAAAGCCGCCGATTGTGTCTGGAAGGGGTAGATTCTTGAGGTAGGCTGGAAGTTGCGTTTTGATAATCTTGGAGATACTTTCTAACACCATCTTGAATGACTTTCTGCGCTTCTAATTGAGACACAGCAGGATATTTCCTGGGACATTCTACGTCACTTGCGTAGTCGTTTCCGTTTGCTCGTTGAAGTGGGGCTACTCAAGGCTGGAAGAATATACGTAGCTGTGACCGTGAATAAGCGTAAATTCACGGCGCGCAGTGAAAGCGTCAACCAATCAGCATCTGCAGAGTTGTTTGCGCCCGATTGGCTGCTTTCACCGCGCCACTTGCTTTTAGATTTAATGGCTCTTTACTTTCTGTTGCACAGAAAAAGAGTGGACAATAACAAATTCATATTTCATAAGTAATAAAGTTAGAGATATCCTGTTAAAATTATTTGAACGATTTAATTTATATATTGAAATTCGTGCAACTTGTATGGTGTTGCAAAAGAAACTTTTTCGTGTGCATTCAAGATTTTTATTTCTTTATTTCTTTATTTTTATTTTTTAAATTTTTGGACCGATGTCTTTAACTTTTCAGTGATATTTGGGTTATTATTATTATTATTTTTAAACAAATTGCATAATGTAATTAGATTTTTGTACATGATAATATTGATTGCAATATTATTTGATCATGCTTCCGTTTATTTTACTTGGAAAGTATCATATTCATGTGAGAAAATTAACCAAAGCTAAGTCATATTTTATTAAGTTTATAAACGAGATTAAACAATGCGGATCTGCTTTGAAATAAAAAAATAAATAAAAATTGCCGCCTTTTCTTTTTCCTGTTTTTCTCGCAAAATTTAAAAGAAAAATAATTCCGCTGTCAAAAATAAAATCAAAATATGGATACAGTGGATACAGTGTCACTTTCTGTGGTGTACTTGCTGCAAAGAATAGTAGTAACATTATATTATATTATATATTCAAGGCAGTCATGCAATAACAACATTCTCCAGCTTTCCTTGCGCTTTTGAGATTAATTTAAAACACAGAGCTAAATGTATTTCTAAAGTCACATGTAATGCTATGGTGTGTTTTTAGATGTTATTTATATATCTGCAGGCATCTAGCAGGACTACTATGTGCGCTGAAGTTTAGGTCCATGTCTGTCCGGTGTCATTGGTGAATGACCGAAGATGTCTCATAGCAGGTTGTTTGCCCGGTTGCTCTGTAAGTAAAACTGACACGAGTGTTGTTACATTTGAAACACATCGCTGTCTTTGTTTTGACATGACTGCATCAGCTACTGTACACGAGAGAGTCATTTATCTCTTATTGTTTTCATTCAACACACACAGTTAGCTAATGCTAATGCTGCTGTGGCGGTGTTATCAGCACCAAGTGTAACATATTTAACGTTAACAGTGTACTTCTGAAACGTGACCTTTAACTGTTACTGGTAAATATGCTTCACTTCAAACCCATCGTGAGGTTAACTTATTATAAATCATTTAGAAGATCAGTGTTAATGAACTTGAAAAGTTGCAGACTGACAGCAGTATCATTTGATGTAAGTGCTTATTCATTTTTGGAAATGACAGAGTCTATGTCTTTGCTACAGTTATGATCAATATTTTATTCATCCTCAACTAGGATGACAGTGTTCTTTATCATTTTGCTGAACGCATGTTGACAGGTTGATGCATGAAGACGTGTGTGTGTGTGTGTGTGTGTGTGTGTGTGTGTGTGTGTGTGTGTGTGTGTTTTCTTAAAAGTAATATAGTAGAAAATCAAAATGGTCAAAAAGTTGACTGTAATCTGTGAGTATTGCCATATTATCATTTAGATGAACAGTGTTAATGAACTTGAAAAGTTGCAGACTGACAGCAGTATCATTTGATGTAAATGCTTATTCATTTTTGGAAATGACAGAGTCTATGTCTTTGCTACAGTTATGATCAATATTTTATTCATCCTCAACTAGGATGACAGTGTTCTTTATCATTTTGCTGAACGCATGTTGACAGGTTGATGCATGAAGACTAGTGTGTGTGTGTGTGTGTGTGTGTGTGTGTGTGTGTGTGTGTGTGTGTGTGTGTGTGTTTTCTTAAAAGTAATATAGTAGAAAATCAAAATGGTCAAAAAGTTGACTAATCTGTGAGTATTGCCATATTTGAATCTTGTGGTTCTCTGTTAACTCTTCCAGTCTTGCGCAATTCAAGTGTCTGTCAATAAGGGAATTTTCACTCACAGAAAGTAGTGTTGATTAACTTCTCTCTCAGTGCGATATACTGCATATTAGGGGTGTGCGATATTGACAAACAATTACATCTCGATATTTTCTGGGATTTTATCGATAACGATAATTCGACGATATTGTGATGAGTGACCTTAAGGACTGCCGAAGACAGCTGACTCCTAATGTTTTTAATATTCTTCATATTCTGTGTGGTGGTCAGTTCATACTGATAGAAATTAATCTTTTCCAATAAGTTTAAACTGATTTTTGCATTTTATGGGTGTTTTAAAAGTGTCCAGTATCTTTTGAGTCAAATTCTTACATTTAATCAGGGAATTAGAATAATAAGACATCTGGGCTGTTACCAAGCAAATTAAATCAACACAGAAGCTGCATCTGAAGTGGCATTTAGATGTATTTACACACATAGATTTTGTTTAATGCAAGACATGAATGCATTTAACCGGCAATTACAAATGCGTAAATAATGTTTTGATATATTAAACATAAAACGTTGAATACTGATATTTGAAATGATTTAAAACATGAAAAAAATCAAAAAGAAAAGAAAGAAAAAGCCGAAATTTGAAATTAAAACTGCCAGTAGGTGGCAGCAAGTCACTGTTAAAAAGTGAGTCGTTGCGATTGAACAGAATCATTTAAACGGTTGATTCATTCAAGAACGAAACACCGTCATGTTGCTCAGAGACACAAAACAGCGCTGTGGCTGTATTCGGAATGAATTTTGTTTGGCGAAATAGAGCAAAAACAAGCAATATGGTGTCTAAAACGTAAGTCTCTAAATTAACTTATTGTTTATTGAATTCAATGTCACAATTGTAATCATGGTAATTTTTGGAGAAAAACGGCACTCTTCGTGTGAAATTGAATTAAATTTTCTGCCATCATGTCTTGAATTTGTGATCATTCTAAATGCATTTTAATAAACTGAATCATGCAGTGAAAGAAAACACACTAAATGCGCACACGCACTAGTCTAGGCTTCACGTAAGGTATGCGTGTGCTCTGTAGGGATGTTTTGAATGGTTTTTGCAAAATACTCGATAATGTCAAATCGCACATTGTTAAAAAAACAATTACGATATTATCGCAGACGATATATATCGCACACCCCTACTGCATACTATACCTTTTCAGTATACCAACAGTATACTAAACAAATTACATTGTATGTATTGTTGCATTTATTTCACATCTGTAGGAATTCACTCAAAATAGATTTGCTATCGAGTAGATAAGCAACTTGTTGTCTATGAGTGGTTTAAAGTGAACTTTAACCTAGAGAAATGTGGACGGACCATCTAATCCAGTTGTGGTCAATAGGCTGTTTCTTTGAAGTCATATTCTCTGCTTTCTCTTCTATTACATCATTCAGGAGCTAAGTCTTCGCTGATCACTTATAAACATATTGGAATTTGTAGTTCAGCTTGGTGCTTTGCAGCTGGTGTTGTGTGTTTGAGCCCTGTCTTTTTTTGAGGTCATACCCTTTAGACATCAGACTCTGTAGGGAACATATAGAGTAATGTGAATGAAGCTTAGACCAAGTTTACTAATGTAGCTGCCAAGCTGACTTCAAAACCTGCAGATTTGTTTTGAGTTTCCTGACTTAATTTTGTTGTAACTCTACAGGTCAAACATTTGCATTTTGTGTGACAGATTAATAAATAAACTGCAGGCAGTTGGACCCAAATATTACGAAGACGGATATAAAATCCAAGATTTATAGAAACAGCAACATTTGGTCATGCAGGCTTCACTAAGAATGAAAAAAATCATCTTAAATAGTTAATAAACTTTTAGATGTATTTTCTGATTCTTGGTTCTTATTCCACTGCTGTTGTGTTTGTATTCGCAGTGCAGCAGGCTGGGGTGAGACACTGTTACACTGGCAACAGGAGGAACCTGTACATCAACAAGAACACTAAGGTCATCTGTCAGGGCTTCACAGGAAAACAGGTGTGTAGCCACAGTCTGCGTTCTCCACGGCACCCTGCATTTGCCCAAATGAAAAGGTCTGGATTCACCTCTTTTTCATTTGATTACTAATTGGAATGCAATTAGTACACAATCTCGTTGGTTGTGGCCTGCCTGAGTGAGAGTAAACAGGCTGAGCAAAACAGTAAATCTCACTGTATTTAAACTTGATCAGCTGCTCACCATAACGGACCATAATGGTTTAAAAGTAGTGATGCACTGAAATTTCGGCAACCAAAAATATAATAATATAATCAGCCGGAAATGAATTTTCTGTTTCGGTCAACAGTTTTGGAGGGCAAAAATCGTTGACCGAAACAGTGGCATTTAATACGTTTCTCTTAATTAGCTAGCTTCTCCGATGGTGCGTTTTGACTGTGTCAGTGTCTGTTTCTTGCACATAACATAGTTAAATGACACATGACAGGTAAACGTGTCAGCTGTGTGGATGCCTGGTAGTGCTGGATTAGCAATATTGCTTTCTCGTTTTTAATTTTGATGAACCAAGGTTGTCTATAATGTTTTTTGTTTGTGCATGGTCAAGACTTCGCTAAACATGCTGCGCACGTGACGTGACATCCAATAATCACAATAAGCTTTGTGCTTTATTTCTTCTTACTATGAAACAAAGTCTCAGCTTTCAAATTCTGTCATTTTGATAACAAAATTCAGACATTCAAAATGTCATTTTGATGCTCTTTTCTTTTCTTTAACATTTTTTTTTTTAATCCGAGGGACTCCAAATAATATTCTGTGGTAATTTACATCATGCCACAGATGCTGTTGACAAAGCCACAATTTTATTTAACCCAAAATATTTAAAAGTGGATAAATCCAGTTTTGCAAACAGTGAGCCACAGAATGCAGATGAATATGATGTAAAGCCTGCATGCTTCTGAAACCACAAAAAAATTATATATATATATAATTTTAAAGATCATAGGGTACAGTGGGGTATAGCTGTATAGCTATACCAATCAGGGTACAGTGATTTGTAATAATTAATAATATGGGCCATATCATTTTAAAAGTAAAGAGGTTTTTGATGCCAAAAACCATCAATGAAAATAATTATTAAATTATATCATATATATAATTATTAAATAAATAAGACAGTGTATAAATTACATTATGAAATTAATTAATTACTTAATTTTCATATAAAATATGATATGACTACTTTAAAGCATACTGTCATGATCTGTCTTGGCTATCAATCTATTCTTGGTTTATTTTGTTAGATGAGGATTGTTTCTAAATTGTTCTTGGCATCTGCCCATAGGCCCTTTACGCTAAAATTGCTGGCTCAAGTATCCAATACCCTTCCTTTTCGTAACCCTGTGATTTATGTCCTATCTCTCATTGTATTTCTCTCGCTCTCCTTCACCCTCTTTAAAATGACTCTTTTCTGTAATAAAGGGTTGTTAGATTAAGTTTTAATGAACACTCATTATAATTAGAAAGGGATGAGGAATGACTAGAGTGTCATTGCGGCATATTAACTTTGCTGTTCGGCTACATAAGCGAACCATACCTCAAATTAATCGCCACACTGTTAACGGAGGCAGCGTGCAGGAAAAATGGCAAAGTTAGCACAGCACTTCAGTGTTAATGAAAGCATGAGAACAAATGATGGCAGAAAAGTTGGCAAGAGGATGGTCTGAGGGGAACTAGATCGGAAACGTGCCAGATTTCTCATTCGTTCTAATTATATTTGTAACATTACAGTGCAGATATTGACGTGGTACGGGCGACCCTTGACTTTGGACTTTGCGATGTTTCAAAATAATTTGTAATAATTAACATGGGTGTAGTGGGGAATGAAGGTTAAAGTTCATGATGTACAATTTCCACTGACTGTTCAAATCCCTAATCATAGGAAAATAGTAAATTTCATTTTCATTGATTTTTAAGTGCGTCACATAATGAAATTGCATTTGTAAGTCTATGTTCTGGGCTGCATGCAGGTAAATTATATATGTTCTGCATTAGTCTCTTTAAATGTCAATTGATTTATCTATGTACTTAAAAAAAATCTTTAGCCATGCAAAGCATGTAATTGTGCCTATAATATGCTATGCATCACTTTTAGGCTGGTTTTCCTGTTCTTTGTATTATTGAAAACTATGATTTACCTTTGTGTAGTGGTTTGGGCTCTGTATTCCAACCAGTGTCATATGTCCGTTTCACATGCAATTTAGAATTTTATAGATACAAAGGTTATTGGATCTACTCTCTAAGTGACAATCCTCTTTATGTGCATTTTCTTTAGTAAACTATTGTGTTGTGTCTCATTTGATCCAGATCTCATGTCTTTACTCACACCACTGGTCTTTTCTTTTTCTTTTCTTTTCTTTTCTTTTATGGCCCATTTAGTTTGCGAGTTTTTTTTTCTTAATTTATTTTTTCAAAGCCATTTTCCACCCAATCTCTTTTTTTTTTTTTTGCTGCTGTGCCTTTTGAGAAGTGCCACCTTTGCACTCTGGTTTGCTCATACTTTGGCAGCAGGTTTGCTTTTGGGTACAGATTTTAACATCCTTTATAACAACATCTTTCTGCATTACATCAGTTGTGGCAGGTTCCAGGCCCGGTTCTACGGGGGTGCTAAGCACCCTCAGTTAAAGCTGTATTAATGGCATTTTATTGCAGATTTGGCAAACTATCCAGTGCTTTATGGTTTGCGCTTTGGAGATCAATTTATGTTTCAACGTGTTTTTGCAGCATTGAGCAATGTAGCCAATTACAGCCATATCTATTCTGTTGATTTCTTGAATCAGAGGCGTTTAAGTTAGAATCCACTCACCGCTCAAATCTCCGGAGTTCTCGCAGCGCGTGCTCTTCAATTGCGCGCACTGTAGCCTGTATTCTTTTATATCAAAGCACGAAATAAACTACGTGCATGCAATGTCGTCGTCAGTTAAGTCATGAAGTTACCAAAAAGGAGATTAAAGCTGCCTTAAAACTGTGCATGCATGTAATATATTTTGAATGGCTATAGTCAATGATTAAATATTAGGGGGGCAATTTTATAGAGAAATCAGTATTGGTATCATTGATACTGGCCTTCAGTCATAAAAAAATATGCCATTAAACAAATATTTAAAAATATTTGATCAAATATATTTGATTAAAAACATCTTTGTTGTTTGTACATTAATTTGAAGATTGAATGTGAAATTGTTGCAATATACAAGTATATTTAAAAACTTTAATGTTAGGTGGGATTAAACGCGTCGCACATTTTTCTGAAATTAATCTTGTTTAATCCCACCTAACATCAAAGTTTTTAATTTCACATTCAATCTTCAAATTAATGTACAAACAACATAAAGACAGTATATTTTTTAATATTTGTTTAATGGGCCTCTCTCTCTCTCCAGGTTCACAAACCAATAAAAAATGTGCTGCATTAATGGTTAAGATCAAATTGAATAAAATAAACATGGACTTTTCTAAAAATAGACTTCAGCCATTCCTTCTAACGCTGAGAATTGTAGAACAGCAGATGCGTCTCACAACCACGGGCCTGGCAGGTTCACAAACCAATAAAAAATGTGCTGCATTAATGGTTAAGATCAAATTGAATAAAATAAACATGGACTTTTCTAAAAATAGACTTCAGCCATTCATTCTAACGCTGAGAATTGTAGAACAGCAGATGCGTCTCACAACCAGCAGTGGTTCAAGGTTTAGTGAACTTTCACACACTATACTCTAATATCTTAAGTTCCTTTGGTGTTTAGGAATTATAATATCTACTTATTTAGAATGAACAGTGTGTAGATCACCATCAACAAATTTTTTAACTGGCGAGGAAGTTTTGTGTTTCAGTTACAGTATGTTTTCATAGTACGTCAATGTCTTTCACTCAAAAGTAAGATTTGTTAATGTTAATAGAAGCTGTCTATGCTGAACGTTAAGTCAAATTCTTCTCTGTCCTTGGTTGAAAGATCTCTGTTTCCTCTCTCTGTCTCTAGGGCACCTTTCACAGTCAGCAGTCTTTGGACTATGGCTCTCAGTTAGTAGGAGGAGTGTCTCCAGGCAAGGGGGGCAAAACACACCTGGGTCTGCCAGTCTTCAACTCTGTGAAGGAGGTAATGGCCTGTGTGACTGCTGACAGTCTCCTGCGAGCCACAGTTACTCTTTGGACAGCTGCTCTGATTCTCTGAGGGTATTGGGGACTTTTAAGGGGACTTATTTAGAGCAAGTGACACCAACAGTAACAGAAGTGTTAAAGGCCGGAGGCCGGTTGTGTTGTCTTTATCAGTTTAAACACTTTCACATAAAGCCCAACTGAAATACCCAAAATTGGACTTTGACCTAATTTGTATTTTGGTTCTGTGCATGATTCTTTAATTGGTTTTTAGGCTAAGGATGGCACAGGGGCTGATGCCACCGTGATCTATGTGCCACCTCCTTTTGCGGCAGCCGCCATCATCGAAGCGATTGACGCAGAGATATCACTGGCCGTCTGTATCACAGAGGGAATCCCTCAGCAGGACATGGTGCGGGTCAAACACAAGCTGCTCCGCCAGAGCAAGACCCGCCTCGTCGGCCCCAACTGTCCTGGTGTCATCAACGTAAGTGTTGCACTTATGCTGTTTTTTTAATTCATTAATTTATTTTATTTTTAATTTGTACCGACACAGCTTTGTTTTTGGAAACTCAACTGGATGATGTTTTGAAGAGAAGGCATATGGTTGAAGTTAGCAAAATTGTGGTTATAATTCTAACACAGAGAATCCACTCTTTGCCTATTGTCTCCCTCTCAAAATTAAAACTCTGTTTTAAATCATTCCAGTATAAAGTCAGCATGAAACATTTAGTATGCATTTTACTTCTGTTATGTGTCAAAAGTGAAATAGCATATTCAACAGGAAACCTGGAATTCCTTGGATTGTGAAAAGTGGTAGCTATACACCACTTATACTATGCCATTAAAAAAAGTTTGAAGTCAGTAAGAATTTTTTTGTTGTTGAAATAACTGAATAATTTAACTCAACAAAGACACATTAAAGGTGGGGTATGTATTTTTTCAAAAATGCTTTAGAAAACTGAGTCGGGCCGAGTACCAAAACAAACGTGTAGCCAATCAGCAGTAAGGGGCGTGTCTACTCATGATGCGGACGAGAGAGCTCTCAGTCAGTGCACAGAACGGACATTAGCGAGCCGAGCGACAGAAAGATAGAGATGGCGGATAAAAAAACAAAATAGAAAAACGTCTGCGGAACAAAAGAAGGCTTACGATAAGGCAAGAAGTAGGACCCGTGTAAATATTGGATCAGCTTTCCAGCGCTGGAGAGAACTCAAGGAGTGGAAGGCCTTCGATCAGACACCGAGGTTGCTTTGGTTCTTCTCGATAGTTGAGTAACACCGTGTCTACACCGGATGCGACAGTTGTCATGTACAGCTAAAGTCTGTCAACACTGGACCTGATAAAGCGACCATTGAAAATCATTTGACATTTGTGTCAACGTCATAAATAGAACGCAGCAGTAGTATTCTGTCGGGGATTTGTCGTGCCGCATCCAGTGTAGACCATAGATATGTATATATATCTATGGTGTAGACGGCATCACTGATTATAATGAGTTCTATAGTATTTTGTTGCGCCGCTTGCGTCCGGTGTAGACACGGTGTAACATTGGTTTTGCTTTGTTTCACAGAACTAATCGTTGCCTGGGTTGCGTACGTATGTGTGGGGTGGAGCTATCAAAATAGGGGTGAGACCCTTTTGGGGTAGGGGCGTGTTTGTTTTGGTGGTTTAAAATATCAACATTGGCTACCAGAAATCACTTACCCCACCTTTAAATTGATCAAAAGTGATCAGAAAAGACACAGTTTAATGTTGCAAAAGATTTCTATTTCAAATAAATACTGTTCTTTCAAATTAATGCTGTTCTACTGAATTTCCTTCTTGTTTTCAGCATTGATAATAATAATATATGATTATTGAACACCAAATCAGAACATTAGAATGATTTCTGAAGGATCATGAGACACTGAAGACAAAAATCAGTTTTGCCATCACAGTAATAAAATCAATTAAAAAATATATATATTAAAATAGAAAATATATTTTTTTTATTGTAAAAAATATTTCAGAATATTACTGCTTTACTGTATTTTTTTATCAAATAAATGCAGCCTTAACAAACAACTGACCTTAACATTTTGAATGGTAGTGCATTTGGATAAACTTTATTTTTCCTTTGGAACAATGTGCACTAACAAATTACTCCCGGTAATACCCAGAATGTGTGTTAAATTGTGTCAGTTTTGAATTCATGTTGACTCTAAACCCTTACTGCTTGTTACTTTAATTGACTGTAGTAAAATGTATAATTTAAACTGAACTGTAATGGTGTTTTTATTTGCAGCCTGGCGAGTGTAAAATTGGGATCATGCCTGGGCACATCCACAAGAAAGGAAAAATTGGTAAGAGCTCCACAGAATGACACCTTTCATTGTTATGACAAAGAAAGCTCAATCATCCTTCCAGAAGATTTTGACAGTGCAGAGCATAACATGCTGATCGAATAGAACTTTAAGAGATCCTTGAAAAGCCTAGCGTACCTCATGTCTTCTCATTCGTAAAAGAAGCATCAAAGCCAGAGCTAGAGGGTCTCGATTTGAGATGGACACTTTTTAATACATTGGATTTGTTAGAGTTTCTCACCATGTCAGGGATGATGAGATGTCTCTGTTTGAACATGAACTCAGATGTAGACCGTAGCACAGTGTTCAGAGTGCTAAAAAGAGAGTGGTGCAGATCGCTTCTCATCACTCATCTGTCAGGGAATTTTAAACTGCGGGGCTGTGCCGTTTCAAGTCCCATCACTAGACAGGTGGCACAGGTTTTTGAAGAGTTCTGAAGAATAGTACTCAGACTTGAACTCTGTGCTTGTTTCTGTAATAAAAGTTGTGATCTCATGAAATGTCTGTCTGGAAATGGTTCAGCCATGGTTGGCCCTTTCCAATACAGTTTTTTTTCCATTGAGTTACATTTGCTATTTGCAAAGCAAAATATGTTTTATTTTTTTTACAGTTTTTCTCAATTGCTAACACACAATTCATGAAACAATTCACCATTTTCTCACAGCTATAAACACAATCTCAAAACTATACACCAACTTGCACAAACCTCAAACTTTCAGGTCAAAATCAAATATTCTAGTCAAAAACATATTATCTTCAGTCAAAATCAAAATTTTGGCCTCAGATGATGCACAAACCTAACAAATACACACTCCAGTGGACTACTCCACTGCCTAGAAAACACCAGTGAGATCAATTCAAAATACTGTTACAAAAACCTCCTTTTGGGAAATAAGAATCCTTTTGCTAGTCAATGACTGTTACAGTATACGGCATACATAGAGGGGTGCAGATACAGTGCAATTCAGCAATAAACTTTAAGAAAAGTTTACTTTCACTACACTACTGTAAAGAAATTAGGGATGCTCCGATCCGCCTTTTTCGCTTCCGATACCGATTCCGATACCTAGGGTTCAGTATTGGCCGATACCGATTCCGATCCGATACCAGTGAAGTTTTTTTCCCTCATTTAAATAAATGTAGAATTTATATATCTCTGTGTGTGGAACTGATAATCATTCTTTCACAATCTACTAGATACAGACTACTTCATTATAAAGAAAAATAAAATAAACAAATATGAAAAAATATAGGCCTATGTATATTTATAATACAGTTATTGAGCCTTTCTTTTAACAGTTTTAAATGTCAGTTACTGTGCATGTTAAAAACTATTTATAGTCTTTTCTACGCATGTGTTTTGTTCTCACAGACATCCGGTAGCAAGTAACAAAACATTAAACTCCGGCAAGAAGATAGTCATTTTTGCAAAGTATAATGGGAACACAGAATGATCTTGGAGAGAGCTTTACCGAGCTGACTGCTGTAACCGAACGAGACCAGGGTTTAAAGGCTGAACGATTGACTGACAGCCACAGCGGAGAAAACAGTTTGTGTGAACTTTAATGTAAAGACTTAAATATTCATATGTAGCTCACATTAAGCTATCGTATGGCTTCAGAAGTAACACAGAATAATTCGCACAGTCGAAAAAAAATTAAAAAATAAATGAAAATCTCGGATTTGGATCGGTTCTCTCTGCCCGATACCCGATCCGAGAAAAATGGCACTATCGGAGCCGATACCCGATATGAATATCGGATCGGCACATCCCTAAAATAAATATTATAGTACTGTAAATGAAATGCACTACAAGAGAAAAGTTCAAAGACCAAACAACTGAATATACAGTAAACACACATTGAAATATACTGTCAGTTACTTTACAGAAATAAATAATTAATAAATAAATAATTTAATTCATTCAGCATCCTCTGACAATTTGCATTACAATATTGGTATTATCCTTATTTGTTACAGCAGTTTCTTAGTCTTCTGACAAAAGACTTCTCTGCCTCCCCTAGACAGTCGTCTCTCAGTTCTGCACAAATACAGTACATGTAAGGACTACTTGGCTACAAATCAATTAAACCGTAATGAGTTTGAGGGTGTACAACATGTACTACAGTATTTACTGTACATAGAATAATGGAAGTTCTCTCATCTGAAGTACTGCTACTATGCACTGTAATTATATTGTATGTGTAAGTAGTATTGAAACCTTGTAGATGAGCCTGTAGGCTAACTTCCTTCATGGTCAGTCCATGCAGAAGATCATGCTCAACTATAGTGCTTTGTATTTCATCAGGGACAAATGACCTTTGACCTCATCCCCTTCATTTTTATTTTCCCCTCCAATTCCTCTTTGTCTCCCACTACCAGGATTCATTTTCCAAAACACATAATCCGCTGTGCTCCTGTGCATATCATCCTGAGATTCTGACCTGTGTCATCAGTTTTGCTGTTTAATGTTCACACATGGATAAATGTGTGCTGTTTGAGTTCATTTTTTGATGCTTGAGTTAATTATATTTATGTGTGTTTGTGTTTTCTGAATGAGAACATGGTTAAACCTGTGCAAAATAATGGCGTTTTTGTGTAGAGTTTTGGAGAAAACACTGAGCAAATTGGAACGTGTGTGCAAACAGGTGAAATGTGTTAAAGGTTTTGAGAAACGTGTCTTTGTTTGGAGAACTGTATGAATGGTTTGGCAAATTGGGCCAAATGAATCAGTTAGTGTTAGTGTGTTAGCAATCGAGAAAAAAACTGTGATACTGCTTGGTTGCCCCCTGGTTGCATTGAGGCCAAAGGAACAGAACAGCAGGAAAAGTGCATTAATATGTTGAAAAGTGCTAGGAATTTAGATTTTTGCTTTCTAGAAAATGGTCAAGACAGGAAATTATGATCTGCAGAACATATTATCAATTTGTAGAAAAGTCAAGACTCATGCTTGTGTTGATGTATTACATTTATGGATGTACACTGTTTAAAATTACATTTTTAATTACATTATAAACCTATTAATTAATCAAACTAATGTAATGTAAGAACAATTGCCAATTAAGTACTCGTGTATAAATTTAAATTGTTGGCCATCTTTTTAATGTAATAGTTAATTGCACTAAATTAATGTTCAATTAACAGTCCAAATTAAATTATAATATTGCAATTTATCTTTATATTGCTCTATTCTTCTCCTTTTTTCAGGCATTGTATCTAGATCGGGCACTCTTACGTATGAAGCCGTACATCAGACGACACAAGTGGGTCTGGGCCAGTCACTGTGTGTTGGTATGGGAAACTAGCAATCAATTATCCATTATTATAAGTCTACAGAGTGTTTAGTACAGAAAGATCTTTGAACAATGTGCATTTTCTTTCAGGTATTGGTGGAGACCCTTTTAATGGCACTAACTTCATTGACTGCCTGGAGGTGTTCCTGCAGGACCCAAAAACTGAGGGCATCATTTTGATTGGAGAGATTGGAGGAGATGCAGAAGAGAATGCGGCAGAGTACCTGAAACAGCACAACTCTGTAAGCTGCTTCTCATATGTTCACATCTAAAAAGAAAATGCTTTTAAATTTAAAAGTTGAATGTGGCTAATAATATTAGCTCAACCTTTTAACTACCTCACCCACCTAAGACAAGGCAAACTGATTTGTCTTTGTGCTTTTTTTTCTTGCTTTTTTTACAAATTTTTTATTTTATTTTACCACAGCAAAATTATTATTTTTTTTAACTAATTTACTTTTGGGACCAGATAAGTTCAGAAAACATATGCACAATTTTTTTTAGCTGTATACAGGAAAATTTAAAACAATAGTTCACCCAAAAATGTTGTTCCGTCCAAACACATATAATTTTCTTTCTTCAGTCAATCATAAAAGGAGATATTAGGCAGGATGGTCACAATGCTCTTTTCTATGCAATTCCATATCTTTTCCATAGATGTTGAATGGTAAGAAGGTTCTGTCATGCTCCAAAATGATAAACACCATAAAAGTAATCCATATGACTTTAGGTCTATATTCCAAGTCTTTTAAAGTCTCACAACAATTTTGTGAGAGAACCAGGAAAATTGAAGTCATTATTCACTGAAAAAACATCTCCACGGTAGTGCAGTTCAGATATGCACGTTCAAATTTAGTATGTTATGATCTTTTATGAGAATGAGAACTGATGACGTTTGGCATTGATGACATCAAATGTGTCATATTTGAACACATGCAAATGAGATTTGATATTTCTGTCTCTTGATCAAACACAACTATTTTATGGATTCGAAAGGCTTGCAATATGCACAGACTTGCACAAGTCATATGCATATTTTATGCAGGTTTTATGATTTTATTTTTGGTGAACTGTGTCTTTAAGATCTTCTACACACACCCCCACGCAAAGAATCACTATTTATTCATTCATGAATCGCTTCGTTTTTTCTTAGCCCTTGGGAAGTACACATTATTTTTCATCTTCTGGATATCGGCAGCTTTCTCCAACAAACAGGATCCCTCGCCACACATGGAGCTCCTCTTTCCTTGCTAGCAGGAGCTACTCACCCCTGGAGCTTACATTGTTTCTGTGAATGAGAAAACAGCCTCCAGCTGCTCTTTGATCTGTTTTGGCTGTGAAGGAAAGTCTACAGGGATTTCATTGACTGCGTGAAGTCCAGCCTGGCTGGTCCAAACATCACAAAGACCTCCTCCACATCCTAACAGCACCTCGGTTTGTGTCATCATTAAGCATGGCATATTTATTCCTCCAGTCTGAGAGTCATAGAGAGAGCTGATGCATTAACAAGCATCTTGCATTGGGAGAATTCTGTGAAGTCTGTGATATAAAATAGAACAAGCATTGGCAAAATGAGTACTAATGGAATAGTTTCAGCAGTTCTGATTGTGGCAAACTGATGCATGAATGTCCATTTTCTCAAGAGGACTGATTCAGTCTGAGAGTGTGGTAGCGGTGAGGCACAGTAACCACAGAAAATCAAGCAAATCGCTCCGAATATGTTCACCGCATGGACAAGTGCCTCATTTTGGAGTGAGTGCTTGGATGTACAAAGAAACTCTCCTCCATTCTGTGAATCAGACCATACTAAAGAGCTAATTTTTATTGTGGCCACATTTGAACTGAACCAAAATAGCGAAACCTGCAATTTTCTCAATTATTGAGGAGTTTCACAGTTGCAGAAGCCATTAAGCACTTTTGTGTACTTGGAGACAAGTGAGCGTGTAGCATTTTGAGCACACATCAGCACTGTGAAACTTACTTCTTTTCCGGCCTGTCAGTTAAATTAGTGGGAGAATTGATTTGGCAGAAATTGTTCCTTAAAGACTAGTTGCAAATTGAATGAAATTGCTCTTTTCATGTGAACTTTTCTCATTACCTCAACAAGGTAGTTTTTTAAGTGAATGCACCAAAGATGCCCTTGGCTATGAATAATGGAGATCAATACATGGTCATGCTACATTTCGTGCAGTAGATTTAGCCTTGGGAGAAATATTTGGCAGTTATGAAATTTTCCGTCTGTGCTGCTGTTAACAAGACCTGAATTGATCAGACTGTTAAACGCATGCCGGTCTCATTAAGAAGTGCGGGCAGGGATGATACATCAGGTTCCAGGCGGTAATGGAAGCGTCGATCCATACGGGAGCTTGTAAACTATTAGTTCTAGAAAAAGTAATGTCAGATTTATGTTGCTGTATGAACCATTTTAGACTGGCCTAGGAAGAATGTCTGTTTTTCTTTTGGAATAATAGTAGTGACAAAGGGCTCATGGTCCAATCCCATAACTTCACAGCGCATTTATACACCCCCCACATTTCCTGCTGGATCCATATATGATGCTTGCTTTCCATTAGCTGTAGTGGCATTGTGCAAATAATGGTGCGAGCACCCTGTTTTCCCCTTTTCTTCTAATTTATCAACTCCCAACACACATACACCAGCAAGTCCTTGTGTCAGAATTGCCAAGGGAAACTGCAAAATTGCTTTTCAGCCAAATTAGCATATTGATATGAATATTCCTCTCAAGTGCTTGTCAGCTTCACGCTTGTTTTTGCTTATTGCTAACATTTGTCACCTAGGGAAAGTTGCCCATTAAGATCCACTTGCAGTCCACAGTCACCGCAACACTATTGGAAGCTGCTGAATGATCGAGAGGAAGCTTTCCAACTGTTAACATGGAAACCTAATAGATTGTGTTTTCCGCAAATGTCTGTTGCAAACCTATCAGCTATTTTCTGGTGTTTGTTCTGCCAAAATAAATTCAATGTATACACTTTTAAAGTGCCCCTATTATGGATTTTTGAAAATTACCTTTCATGCAGTGTGTAACACAGCTCTAAGTGAATGAAAACATCCTGCCGAAAACATTGTGTATGAAGTTATTGTCTCTCAAAAGAAAGAGTCGACTCTGAATCATTGAGACGAGTCATTTTTAAAATGAATCCCAAGCCGTTTCATTTTGACCTCAACATGAAACATTAGCATATTGCCCACCCACTTGTTGGTCTGAATGAAAATGCTAATTAATTCTTTACCGCTAGGTGCCGCTTTTGGAGCAGTAAAATAGCGGCTTCCCTGGTACACAAAGCAGCAGTGCGCTCACAAACGCTGTCGTTGTCGAGTCGCTGTTGAGTCGTTGAGCAAGTAAGGTAAAAATAAATGCATATTATAAGACAATGAAAGTGTTTTTTGACCTTGCATGCATGTCAACTTGTTGTTGGGGACCCCCAAAACCAAAATATGAACCTTTCATAACCCATAATAGGGGCACTTTAAAGGGATAGTTTACTCAAAAATGACAATTTTGTGCTGTTATGTTTTACTCTGGAATACATTTTTGAAGAATTTTCACACAAAACAAGTTGAGGACAGCATTTGCATTTTTGGGTTAACTGTCCCTTTAAGACCCTTTTTGACCCTTTTTGAAAATGCTAAACGTGCTCAAAATAGGGCTGTCTGGAGAGTCATTCAGCAAAAAAGGGAGCACAAAATGAAAGGATGGCGTTCCACTCCAGCACTGTCTCGATGTTTTGTGCATGAGCAAAATATAATTACCTCAGTTCATTATCGTAATCTTCCCAGATTAGGCTTTAATCTGTAGTCGGCTGCATGAGCATTAACAGCTTGAGCTTTGAACCGAAGACTGCTCCTGTGGAGCATTATAATGTTAGCGGGTAGTTGTAGATTATCAAGTATTAAGTCAGTCAACTGTCTTTGACTGGCAGTCACATTAATTTCATCTCCTCAACCTAAAGTTTGCATTCCCATTTAAAGTTTTTAGTGAAATCAAAAATTGCCAGTGAAGTTTAGGAACCTACTCTCCTGTGAGATGCTAATGAGCACGTCTGAATTAGTGCTGGCTCCATTTGAGCCCGAGGAGGTCTATAATGCCGGAGAAAACTATCTACTAGCATTTCTATTGGTCTTGATGGCAGTAGCTGGTTGATGCAGGAACCCCCAAAAGTATGCAACTTAAAAATATCTACTATAATATGATAGTCATAAGATGTTAAAAGTTTGCTCGGGGAAAAAATCTGAATGCACAGATTTTTGAATGACTGCCAATGGAGAAAGATGATTTTAACCCCCCAAATGATGGGGCTGGCACATGCTAACCAGCCAACCCTTGACTTTTTGTTTGAGCCTCATCTGAGTTCAAAGGTACGCGCACAGTAGCTTCAGCCTTCTGAGAAAGTCTGTCCAGATGTCCCCAAAAACATTCAAAATGTTAGGCTACCATTTTATTCTGTTCGCCCATCTGTTGGTGGCTGCATTTGCTATTATGACAACCCACATCCCATTCTAGAATTAGGATGTCATTCATGAGGACAGAATATAGTGGGAATGAGGGAAAAAACAGACCTGAGCATGATGGTCCATGAGACGGTCAATGACAGTTAATTGGCTTACATGCCTTGATCTGCCTCCCTTTTAATGCCAATTTTGAGCGCAGTATGCACCGTCTAAAAGCCCTTGCACTTATATTCACCTCTTATTTACAAGTCTGTGAGCTGCAGTTTGAGGAAATAAAAATATTATTCTTGTAGGCCTTACTTAGCGCCACTATGACCATGGTTATTTTTATGGAGACCCATAATGCAGGGGTAAAACAAAAACAGACATTTTTCACTAAAGATTTTAACTTTATAAACGCATACATACACATACCGTACAGAGGTTTGGGGTCAAAAATATATTTTTAAAATGGTTTTGAAAGAAGTAAATCAGAGAAATGCATAAGTTTTGTGAGCAAACACAAAGTATTTCAGAGGAACACAGTTTTGTGAGTGAACGCAAAGTATCTCAGGAATGCATACGTTTTGCGAACAAATGCAAAGTATCTCAGAGGAACACAACATTTTTCAGAGTGTGAACAAAGTATCTCAGGGGAATGCATACGTTTTGTGAGCAAAGGTAAACATTTCTCGGGGGAACTGAAAAAGTTGTACACGTAAAAGCAAAAGCTCTGAAATATTATTTTTTTCCTCCTATCGATTTTTTTTTTTTTTAACCATCACCCTGTCCCTTTAGGGGCTCCATAGAAAATAGTTGTGCTGCTTAATATGCACATGCAACATCTTTTTACAAGATTCTTTGAATAGAAAGTTTGCAAACATTCATTTGAAATAGAAACGTTTTGTAACTTTAATGTCATTGTTGTCACTTTACTATCATTGTCACTTGTCAAAAGTTGTCACTTGACACATTGTCAATACATCCTTGCTGTGTATAAGTATTAATTTCGTTCAAAACAAAAAAGTGTGTATGTATTTCAAAGTCCTTGTGTCGTTTTCTACTCTTTAGGGTGCCAGTGCTAAGCCTGTGGTGTCATTTATTGCTGGCTTAACGGCCCCTCCTGGAAGGAGAATGGGGCACGCAGGAGCCATCATTGCCGGAGGCAAAGGGGGTGCCAAAGAGAAGATCGCCGCCCTGCAGTCAGCTGGAGTCATCGTCAGCATGTCTCCGGCTCAGCTGGGCAGCACCATGTACAAGGTGAGAAACCATCACCCTGTCCCTTTAGGGGCTCCATAGAAAATAGTTGTGCTGCTTAATATGCACATGCAACCTCTTTTTACAAGATTCTTTGAATAGAAAGTTCGCAAACATTCATTTGAAATAGAAACGTTTTGTAACTTTAATGTCATTGTTTTCACTTTACTATCATTGTCACTTGCCAAAGTTGTCACTTGACACATTGTCAATGCATCCTTGCTGTGTATAAGTATTAATTTCGTTCAAAACAAAGAAGTGTGTATGTATTTGAAAGTCCTTGTGTCGTTTTCTACTCTTTAGGGTGCCGGTGCTAAGCCTGTGGTGTCATTTATTGCTGGCTTAACGGCCCCTCCTGGAAGGAGAATGGGGCACGCAGGAGCCATCATTGCCGGAGGCAAAGGGGGTGCCAAAGAGAAGATCGCCGCCCTGCAGTCAGCTGGAGTCATCGTCAGCATGTCTCCGGCTCAGCTGGGCAGCACCATGTACAAGGTGAGACCGTTTTTTTTCAGTGTGAGTTGTAACTCAGAGGCAGAGTCACCACAGAGATGCCACCTCCTGTTTTACCTCACTAAATGCTCAACGCTGTTTTTCGTTCTGCAAACTCAAACATGCTGAGAGCAAGCATTAAAGAAATTCCTTTTAGTAAAAAAAAAAAAAATTAGTGTTTTGTCTTCTTAGTTTAAAGTCTCACAGTGATGTCAGTTTGCTGATAACTCTTTTTAAAGTACATTTATTGGTTTGTGTGGCTGTAACGGCTCTGGAAAATTCAGTGTTCTGATTCAGTGTGAGTTGTAACTCAGAGGCAGAGTCACCACAGAGATGCCACCTCCTGTTTTACCTCACTAAATGCTCAACGCTGTTTTTCGTTCTGCAAACTCAAACATGCTGAGAGCAAGCATTAAAGAAATTCTTTTTAGTAAAAAAAAAAAAAAAAAGATTAGTGTTTTGTCGTCTTAGTTTAAAGTCTCACAGTGATGTCAGTTTGCTGATAACTCTTTTTAAAGTACATTTATTGGTTTGTGTGGCTGTAACGGCTCTGGAAAATTCAGTGTTCTGTGGGCCAAACCAGTGGCTAATCACAGGAATAAATTACATTTTAAAATATACTATTTCACAATATTACTGTTTTTGTATGTTCTTCATATACTATGTATTTGAAGAAAAGCATGAAAAAAACTTCAGATACCACAGTTTTCAGCTTTAGTATGGTAATGTATTTTTAAAATAGCAGTGCAGAGTAATTTACAGCAATATTTCTGTTGTAACGAATGTAAAATGCCACACTGGGACACTGTTGTGATATTTGAGTCATGATACAAATAAACCTTTGCAACAGTGTTTTTAATCTTCATTTAAACATACAGTTACTTATTAGCTATCTGGAGTATCTATCTTAATGCTTCACAGTTTTAGAAACATTAATGACCAAAAAAAATTTACACATAAATCAATATTCACAATGATGCTTAATTTATATCACAAAATCTTTGCAAATATATTGTGAATATTCAGTAAAACACCCAGCCTAATCACTAATCACACTCTCGTTCTTTTTACTAATGATGTAACCGTATTAAATACTTAATTTCTTGTGTTAACTCAAGGCCATTTCCTGCAATCCATATTATTTCAGTCTGCAGTGGACAAGGCACTGCTTGACCATTAGATGGCAATAGAGCTTCAAGTATTTTTACAGTGCATCTTCCTTCTTTGAAACATGACATTTGCATAAGGGAATTCTCTCAGAAATGCGCCATTCCGTCACCCTTAGTTGAGGAAAATGCGTTTTCAAAAGCACAATGCATCACCCTGTAGCTGTAAGCCTTTGTAAGTTAACTATGTAAATAGCTATTCCTGACTGGAACGATCTACATTTGTCTTTGTATCATACAGTGCATTTCTCACAGCTTTATGTGTTTACCCACAGCTTCTGTAAATGTTTTTTTCCCCTTTGCAATTAACCTTAATACAGCCAGCTGTTGGAACTTCCACATTAAAAAAATCTAATATATATATATATATCGTATATATATATATACATATATATATATATATATATATATACATATAATATGTACATTCCTATTAGACTATTAGTGATGCCAAGCTGAATCAAAGTTTTTTTTTTTTTGAAAAAATCACACATTTATTTTTATGGTTTATGGGGACTCTCCATAGGCGTAATGGTTTTTATACTGTACAAACCATATATTCTATTGCCCTACACCAACCCTACCCCTAAACCTACCCCTCACAGGAAACTTTCTGCATTTTTAGATTTTCAAAAAAACTCATTCTAAATTATTTATAAGCCTTTTGAATTACGGGGACACTGAAAATGTCCTCTTAAATCACCTTCTTGTTGTAATACCTATGTCATACCCATGTTATTATACAAATCTGTGTCCTCATAAACCACATAAACATGCGCACACACACACACACACACACAAACTCCAGAAACTCAGCAATGAAAGATTTTGTGCAACAGGCAAGGTCAGAACAGAGTGGCATTTTCTCCTAAAATATCAAAACATCTGAGACAAATACTGTACAAACCACATTTCCAAATAATGGTTTTCCAAGCTTGATGAAAAATAAAAATCCTTCTGGTTTAAGGGAAAAGGGCCTGAGGGACAGTGGGTAACACAAAATATAAGCAACACCAAATCATTTTTACTCTTAATGATGATCATATTTTGCATTTCCAGGAATAATTTACCCCAAAATGAAAATTCTATCATCATTTATAAGCTGTTATTAATCAAGTTATTTTCTTGTTTGGAACACAGAAGTAGTCTTTTTGTCTTGTTGTGTCTCTGATCCTCATCCTCTTTTATTTTATGGAAAAGAGCAACATGGACATTCTTTTTGTGCTCCATTGAAGAAGTAAAGTTAACCGTTTTAGAACAAGATGAGGCCGAGAAAATGACTGCATTTTCATTTTTAATGTGAATTACCTTTTAAATCCATTACATTTGACTTTTCTTGTTGTTTTAATAATAAAAGTGGTCTTATCGTTACAGCCCTCCAGCTGAACTGTAATGGGAAGAATAGGGCGGGAAAAACACTGAGATGAGCTTTTCAACTGACACGCAACACATCTCTCTATCTGCCTTTGTGCCGAACAGAAATTGGGACACATACTTTGAGAAAATGATCACAGATGTGCTGACTGTGTGATATCTAATGCTACAGTGGCGCAAGATTTGTGGATGGGTAATGGATTTTATTCTTAGAAATAAGACTTGAGCTTATTAGTGCTCGCCAGGGTAGACGGGTTGTACCAGTTGTTCATGAGCTTTTTCTTAAACTGGGACAGAAAGTTCACACTATATGGTGTAGTAACTAGTTTAGTTTGTGACTAACTCTGTACTTCGTATGGATGCACTATTTGTTCTTAAAGGAACACTCCACTATTTTTGAAAATAGGCTCATTTTGCAACTCCCCTAGAGTTAAACATTTGAGTTTTACCGTTTTTTTTAATCCATTCAGCCGATCTGCGGGTTTGGCGGTAGCACTTTTAGCTGTAGATTAGCATAGATCATTGAATCGGATTTGACCGTTAGCATCTCGCTTAAAATTGACCAAAGAGTTTCTATATTTTTCCTATTTAAAACTTGACTCTTCTGTAGTTACATCGTGTAGTAAGACCGACGGAAAATTAAAAGTTGCGATTTTCTAGGCCGATATGGCTAGGAACTATACTCTCATTCCGGTGTAATAATCAAGGAACTTTGCTGCCATTCTATGGGTGCAGCAGGCGCAATGATTTTATGCAGCGCCTGAAAATAGTCCCCAGAACACTCCCTGTGCAAGCAGGTGGTCACGTTGGTTATGTTGACGGAAGTTAGCCTATTTTCAGGCGCTGCACAATATCATTGCTCCTGCTGCACCCATGGTACGGCAGCAAAGTTCCTTGATTACTACGCCGGAATGAGAGTATAGTTCCTAGCCTATTGGCCTAGAAAATCACAACTTTTCATTTACCGTCGGACTTAGTACACGATGTAACTACAGAAGAGTCAAGTTTTAAATAGGAAAAATATCTAAACTCTTTGGTCATTTTTGCACGAGATGCTAACGGTCTAATCAGATTCAATGATCTATGCTAAGCTACAGCTAAAAGTGCTACCGCCAGACCCGGAGATCGACTGAATGGATTCGAAAACGGTAAAACTCAACTGTTTAACTCCAGGGCAGTGGCGGCTCGTGGGTTTAAATAGAGGAGGCACACTAATTGTATTGGTCTGGGATCCCTGCCGATTATTATTATTATTATAATTTGCTTAACCACTTTAAAATGGCTTTTTGGTTGCTTTTAGTCAGAAAACGTAAAGAAAACATGCAGCAAGATAATATAATTTCATTTACCTGGCATATCACTTGAAGCAAACATCCATCCCTTCTTAAAAGTCTTTGTTAAAAGAGAGCTGCCTGTTGCGTCATTTAATTAAGCCGACTGCTGTAGCCTATATCCAGCTTAGGCTGTTTTCCCTAAATTTGTGTATATACTGTTTGAATGACAGCTTGGTAAATCTGTTGGCGATCAAATATTCAATATCGCTACTCATCA